CGGAGCCACGAAGGCGATTTTGACCGCAGAACTTTGAGATTCAAAATAGACAGAATTAAAGCGAGACTAGAGAAGACTCAGATTAAGTTTAGCAATTGCATGATCTCACGATATGTTCAAGTCAGTGAACTTATAACTTATACTTGAAAAGCTGCAAGACTACGTCACTCTTGGACAGCTGATCTCTGCAACCGAGAACCAAGTCTGCGACATCGATGGAAGAGTGAAAAAACACGCTGTACGTTTGGAAGGTTGAGGAAACAGACGAAGGGTCTTCTATCAGTTCATGATCGTAGTGCCAAATTATGGAGCGAAACGTAGATCCTGAACATGAAAAGGTGTATGTTGGGAATAACAGGCCGAAATAGGGAGACTAAATGAATGGGTAGTGGCGCTAGCAAGACTTTGCGATGTCTTGGTGAAAACTAAGCTGACGGTGGGTAGGACGTCTGCGAAAGAAACCGACCATCGATGCACCAAATAAACAGTAGAGCAGAATCAAAGAGACAGTAAACGTCCCGTGGAAAGATCTCCACACCGATAGCAGGATGAGCCAAAGAAATTTTTTTGAGCATTATGAATAATGAAGAAATAGTTATTTTTCCAAACCGTCGTCCTGAAGTGAATCAATGACGATAATGACTTTAGGATTAATGAGGATGATAGTCTCCTTTCCTTCACCCCTGCTTGTAGTCAGGGTGTCATTCTTTAGAAAGATCTGCCTTAAAGGTAGTCGTACTGCTGTCAGAAGCTTGTTTGCCAAACCTTCGTTAGCGACTCGTTTCAAGGCTCGCCTGAGATCTTCGCGGCTGTCGTTGTCCCACTATCAAACCCTACTTCACCGTGTCATGTCTACGTTCCTATGGCGATTCCTGGACGATTGGTTTTATATGTGACTAATATTTAACAAAGAGATTTCAAGATGATCAAGAAGGCGCCTTCGCAATCTGTCGTGAAACCTCGTTGCCTTATTTGCCACCGGCTTTCAGCGGTGGGAATGCCGGAGATTGTTTATGAACAGCAGTGCAAGTTTCATTGTGCAACTTAGTGCCAGTTCACTTCTGTTCATCTACTATATATCTCATAATTTTTCTTGTGAATTCAAGAGATTAAACTATGTACATACATTTAATTTAACATGTCAATAAATGATTTTACTAGTAATTGGTGGGAAGTAGATCGTATGAAATAAAAGTATTTGCATTAACGCTCCTAGCGAAGGAGCAAAAAGGATGATCGAACTTTGTTTCTTCTTTTTTTCTTTTCTTTCTTCTCCTCATCCTACTGCTCCTCATAACATGCTGTATTTTCTTCGATTTGCGTAAGAACCGATGATTTTGAGTCTAATGAAGTCATCGATCATGTGACGCTGTTTCAGATCATCTTCACAGCATGATGCCACTTTACTTAGTCTTTCTGTTTCTCTCTTCCCTAGCGTTATCAACGTTTGGACTACATGGTCTTCGTAGTCATCATGTATTCATCTGAAATGGTCGAATCAAGATGGCCTGTCTCCATTATGCATTTATGTTATTGGAACTACATCTGAAATGTCCTTATGATGATATTCCATCCGGACTTTCTTGTTAATCTCATACATTCCCTCATCTCTTCAGTGTGATCAACCATTCAGCTTCCTGGAGCATTACTGATTCTATGGATGACAGAAAAAAACTCTCATTTTAGTTGATGGACAATTCGTGATGGCAGAAGAAGCAGCTTCGCTCTCATCTTTCCATTTCAAGCCATGTCAAGTTTTTCACGATCTTCTTTCGTAGTGTATTTCCCGGCGGGGTCCGCTAATCAAGTCAACCTCCTCCACATTTTTTGTCTTAGATTACATCTTCCCATGACTCCTCGCAGTTTCATACATTTCTTGACGATATCTTACAGTATCAATGCTTCGGTTACATTTCAACTTACTCGATGGGTCTTCCTTTCAAATGACCGAACCAACGGGTCCTAGCCTACTTTCGATTTGGTCCTACACCTAGAGTGTCTCTTATGAATCTGTTTCGGATACGGTCTTTTCTGCTGACACCACACATCCACCTGAGCGTTCGCATTTCTACCGAATTCAACCGTTTCTCATGTCTCTTCATGGTAGCCAAACATTGTGCTCCTAATAGAAGCATCCGTCTTACTATCGTTCTGTTCATCTTCCCCTTTAGTCTGATGGGCATCATCTTGTCGCAGAGCACTCGGTTTACTTCTCTCCATTTGAGTCAAGCTTTTTTCGACCGATTTCTTACCTCACTGTCGATTTTTGCATTATCTTGCAGGATAAAACCAAAGTAGTTGTATGGTTTGAGGTCGCAAGCTCTCTGATGCTTTCATTTATTTGATGGCTGTCAATCTGTTCTCACAATTGAAATAGTCTGAAATAGTCACAACTGAAATAGTGCTTCATTGCTGGGGTTCTGGACAGGAGATGCAACCTCACGTTTGCCTACCAAAATTTTTCCCTCTCCTTTCTGCTGAGAAATCCCCATCATGTATGCTCATGCAACGTTCGATTTTCTTCGAAGAATCATTCACGCTGCGGCATTGGTTTTCAGTGTCCCTCTGCCATCAGTGTACAGTGCTAAATTGTTCGCATAGGGCATTCTTCATGCAAATCAAAAACGAAATGATCTGATTATCTTTGTGTGCCTCCAGTCGAACACGACATTCTTGTTTTATTGCATGACCATTCGTTACTGCTGTAATTTTATTGTTTGCTTGTTGAGCCGGCATAACATGATGTTCTGACATCAGCAGACATCATAATCGAGATGCTCTGCTTGATATATGAATGAACAAATCGATATCGTTTATTTTCCCGGCTTCAATGTTGAGAAACTCACGTCTAGCAGACACTTTCAGAAAACCAGCATACGCAAATACTGGGTTCATGTACAGAACCGGGTAGCGGAAATCGACTCTGGCTGGAATCGAGTCCGGAATTTCAAGTTTCGTCGATGAAGCAGACAGACACACAAGTCCTCCTCGGGCGAAAGCGTGACAACGTCGATCTGGACGTCGATGCGCAGTGCCGGCGGTTTCCGCCAATTCGTTCGCCATGCTACTCAAGGAGGGGCGGCTTTTCCACGCCTGTCTGCGCCGAGGTCGCCAGAGGAATCAAACGAACACCAGTGATTCGGTGTCGGACGCGTAAAGCAGCATTTCTGTGAGGCATCAGCACAGACGACACTCTGTCTTCTGTTCGTCCGAGGAAGAGGAAGAGGTCGGAATTTGAGGCGAGAAGTTTAAGAAACGACGGAGGAAGGCGTCGACAGCTGACGACTGCGTCTCCGCCCTCGGATGCCATCTTTTGTCCGTCTGCTGTACCTGAACATTCCAGATCGACCGGTGGTGGTAGATCTCCTCTGCGTGAATTTGCGTTGCATCCCGAAAGTAAGCCGGAGATAATTATTTTTCACCTTTCGTTTCATGGCCATATTCCTTCCTTTTCCGACCGTACGATCACGTGTTCGACCCAGTTTGGGTACAACACCAGACGAGACGAGACGAGACGACACGAGGCCAGACGTCCCCTGGTGGAACCAGTGATTCATTGTGGGTAATCAGTCATGCTGTTCGCGATCGAACAGTTCACATCGAACTTCCTTTTTCTACGATCGAAGAACTCCGTGCGTTTAGGTAATTTTAGCCACGCGATCACTTACTTATTATTCGAGCGGTGGGTGATTGATCGATGTTGAATACTTCTTGGTAATGCCGTTCTGACTGTAAGATATAGGGACACTTTATGTGTAACGTTACAACCAAGAACGTAAAATTGGCAAAGATGACCACTAGTTATGTACTTTGTGTCCAAACAGCACCGTCTGTCTTGCCAAGGAGCGTCATCGATTATTCCCTCCGAGGTTACTGTCATTAGTGGATGATCAAGGTGAGGTGCCAATCGAGGGATCGAACACGTATTGACATTTCGCTAGTTCTGGCGAAAGTTGAAAATTTTGACCTTCACTTATGTCATCTGCATGCCTTCTCGTCACTTCAGTCTCCTAATAGTTCAACTCGTCTCGTTCATTCACCGTCGTCCTATATTCGCACGTTGGACGGCACCACTCATCCTCTGTTTAAATGCGCACCGTGGCTTCAGTCTGATCAGAAGGTGCGGACGATTGCTAAAAGTCTACGAGTAGTCTTGCACTAGCAAAATTACCTTCTGTGCCTAAGAAGATCCGTTATCCTCTATTTGCATTTCACTGCCGGTGGTCCGTTAAGTTTTACCGATTCGTGACAGGGCAGTTCTTCATTCTCAGTGGCTACCAGAGCAACTGAGAATTCGTGCTTGGTATAAATTCCGCCTAATATACGATTCTGTGATGCTGTACTTTGGTCGTTCAGTGCTCCAGAAGCTAATCTGATCAAAAAAGTAGACGCGAGCTATTTGTCTCTGAGCGTATGACCCTCGTTGTAACAACCGGTGATGCATCAGATTTTCATGGTCTGACATATGAGCGGCAACTGCAACAACGACCATATGTTTGGAAGCTAGTAGATCCGTATCTACTTCCCCGATTCGGTTAACTTTCAATGCGCTAAGCAACCAAAACACAGGATCATATTCCGGGTCTCAAAATATTGTATTCTTGTTTCAAAGCATTTCACCGCTTCTGCATAGTCACCAGTGCTTTAGGCAGGTAAGAGACATGACATATCCGGCAAATTTGCCAGCAGTCAGTATTCACCAATAAGTAAAACAGCATAGCCTCATTAACATAGTCATATACTCATTGCCATTGCACCTAGGTTTCAGATTGATCTGTTAACCAGAACATTGCGTTGGAGACATGGGCAGTATTACGTAGATGGAGGCATAGCTAAGACAGCTATACCACTGGAGCGCTCTTCGCATACGAGAGATGAAGGTTCAAATCCACCACGGGAATATCGTCCTTTGGTTGTTTCGAAGTGGATGAAAGATTGCCACAACTCTCTCCACTGGGAGAGCGCATGCTATGCCTGCATTTAGTCATAAATACTGAATTCAGAATCGTTTGTCTTTACTGATAACTTCTTCAAGCATGTCGGTATAGTGTCCGACAACATATATTACCCATGATTTTACGAGCGTTTTAGCTAGCACTTGATCGATCTTATGCAGATGTCTTGCATAAACAATTGCAGAAACATTTTTGAAACAGTTTTTCAGCCTTTGGGTGAAACGTCCCCCTACCGTAGATCCAGGACTACCAGGAACGTTGGAAAAATCGTTCGTAATTTACAACGTTTTCGAACGCATATTTTATTTCCAGGCGTCTGAACATTTTTTGCAGCTATATGCAAATAATGCTGTTAAGAATGACAGACTTTCAGGAAGCCTAGAGGTCATTGATTTAATGTGCAAAGCTCCGACGCCTTAATGGCTAAATTTTCGAAGTTTCGTCAGATCGACCGTAGGCTAATGACCGGTGCGGTCATTAACCCAAATTTTCGTCGTCATCGATGACTAACGTCGTTGTCTGGGCAAAATTCCACAAGCCAGCACGTGTATGGCCGGCGGCTAATGGCCACCGTACCGTTGGCAGTTTCATTGCTTATATTTGATCGCCGGCGAAATCAGACGTTTGCGTGTTCGACACGATCACTGATTGTGATCGGCAGCTATTGGAGCGTTCTGAGGAAATTTCTGGCGGATTTAGCAATTTTGATGACCTGTTGATTGATGAGTTACTCTCATAGCACAGATTTGTCCCTCAGCAGTGCCACCAGTTGTCTCAGAAGGGTATTATACTACTCTAAGCAAGTTATGGCGATTGTACTGATCGACTGTCTAATACTGATAATTGTCTAATTGAAGGATTACAGGCATTTCCTCCCTCGACGACTTCAGATTTAGGCGTTGGAATCAAACTCTGCGGTCAATCAGTTGCAAAAATCGATCATCCTTCGAGGTCGTGGAACGAGACAGGTCATTCGGTGTCCAGCATTCCCGAACACGTGTCAGCATCTGTGTGCTTTGGCAGAAGATAATCCTAGTCTGGGTCGAGTCCTTCTAGACATTTGTCTGAGGTCATTCTTCGCCATTCTGGAAATCTTTAGTCGGTAGGCAGGAAAAGTAGTAGCTGTTTTGCCACCTTTCTGGAAGTATTCCCACCATCTGTCCAGAAAGTCGTAGCTCTGACTTAGACTGGAGAAGCAATTACTGTGTACCAAACTTCCCTCGGATACGTTAACTCCGAACTTGTCCAGTCCGTAGCCCAGTGATTTGTCCCAAAAGCCTGAATTCAGCTGCTGTACCCTGGATCGAAGTTAATGGTCCACAACTCATGGCCGTACGTGAGCGTTTTTCGGCTCGAAGAGCGACCTGAAAATCTAGAGCTAAGTGGCAGACTCAGCTCTGTTTTACTCACAACGATTCGGACTGCTTCGCGCAGAAAGCCGCTAGCAATTGTAGTATCAAACAAAACAGTGTCTGCAGGCGGCAGAGTTCTCGCCTCTACACCTCCTTGTCCCATGTACCACACCAACAGGAGAGGAGACAGGAAGCAGCCTTGACGAGACCAGTGCCAATACCGAAGGTCTCTTAATGTAATTTACCATGTCGCAACTCTTGCTATCATCATTTAGTGACTGCATGTCTCGTGACAACTAGAATAGCATCCACCCGCAGAGGTTCAGAATTCCAAAGTCTTGGCTGGCCCTTCGATGACATACTATATCCAGTGGGTTTGTTTCACCCTCATCAGCCAGCCACTGCTCTTTCCCTGTGAGAGAGGAGTCATTCCAGTTTCCGTCTGTGGACTTCCATTGTCGGTATCGTTACCGCAGAATTTTGCTGTCATGTCCTTATCTATCTTTGTGATTAATATCGATTGTGGTTGCCAATCTTTCCGTTATTTGTAATCAGTGTCTTTATCCTAACAAGAACTGCTGTATAACGAATAATGAGTACTGCCAGACCAG